TTTTACATATAAATTTGGGTAAGTCAACTCATTTGATTTATATTAAACAACAACCAAGAGGACATGTCTTGTGTCTGTTACCTTATCTGAAACTGCCTCCGATACATTAGTCTGATCATCTGAAATATCTTTTTTAGAATCTATGATAGAGTCATTCTGATCATCTAGCAATTTAGTGTTGGGATTCTTGGAGAAATAATCAATAATAGTTTAAATTTTACTATCAGATAATTCTGCAATAGAATTCGCACTATATATTTTGATATACTTGACTTTATCAATTCCTATTTTTTCAATGAACTCATAAATCTTCCTGGCTCTACTGATGTATTGATATAAGGTATTTCATTTGGTATCAGGATTGTGCGCAAGAATAAAATTGTAAATCTGTCCTTTGGCCTTTTTCATTCCTATCTTTTCTTTGATCATAATTTCATCTACACTTTTATCCAGTCTGTTAATAAAATTAACCCAGCATAAAATTTCTACCTAATTGGCTTTTATCATTTCATCTTCTGCATTACATGCATCTTCATATAAACATGCTATATTTTTCAATACACCTAAATTTTCCTTACGGCTCGTAAGCAAAAATTTTGCCATGTGATTTTTATCAGACTCATCCATCATAAAATCAAATACATCTTGTATGATATTTTCTACTTCTTTCTTCTTATGTGATCGAGCTTCTTTGTCCTGTTGCTGATTCTGAAGTTTTTTCACAGTTTTTGAATCTGAAAATTTAGAGACTTCAGATGAATTATCGGGGGTGATTACTATGCAACCTGCTCTCCAGAAATTGATTCTTCTAGTGTTATCAGTGAAGTAGGTGGGGGATATTTCTGTACTATCTGGTGACTTCGATTCACACAGAAGTTTCTTCTCCTTATTGCATTGCCTTATCCTACTACTAACACTTTTCTTATATGCATCATCCAAGAAAGTGTCTATTTCCCTGTTCTTCGATGTCTTTTGATCACTCATACAAGATAGTGGAAAAGTAATCTGATTGCTCCCCTCATTGTCATCTCTTAGTTTCACTACTTCAGCTTTAAGCTCAGCAATTGCATCATTATGCCTAATATTTTTGGCTGAAGAATCCACCTTATTTTTCTCCATCTCCTCAATTCTGGCCTTGGGCTCAGCATTCTCAGCATCATGCCTTGCATTCTCTTCAATAATTTGCTTCAGCCTCACATTCTCAGCCTCAACCTCAGCAAGCTTTAGTAGCTTCTTTTTGAGTTTAGGAATCTCAGCATTCTTCTTTCTAAGTTTGGCAATCTCAATTAAAAGCTTGGTATTTAATTCTCTCAATGAATCAATTGATTGAGCATTTGACATGTTTGATATTACTGTTTATACACTAATACAGTCATCCCCCTCTATAGTCACCTCCTCTATAGTCACAACCTCAATATAATCACAGTTTTTTTTTTACCAAC